GAAGAAAATAGATTAAGCGAGATAGTAGTGAATAGTAACGATGTTAATAAACAAATAGGCAAACTAAAGCCTAATAATTCACCAGGTCCTGATAAGATATTTCCCAGAGTATTAAAGGAATGCTAAGGAAAGCCCTTAGCAAATTTGTTTAGCATGTCATTAAAAACGGGTGTAGAACTAGAATCCTGGAGGATAGCGAATGTGTTACCGATTTTCAAGAAGGGAGATAGATCACTATCCTCTATTTACCGTCCAATCAGTTTAACATAAATTTAGGCAAATTGCTGGAAGCAATAATTACAAACTCTATTCGAAATCACCTGGAGAAGCACAAGTTGATAAATGATTCCCAACATGGCTTCACAAGTGTTCACTCTCGAGAGTGGAGTACCTCAAGGAGGATGCCTTTCTCCAACACTATATACAATATATACCTCAGACATACCTCAAACTACTCCCTTTAGCTAGTAAGTAATGTTTGCTGATGATATCACTCAAATAGTATCATACCCAGGAAAATCAACCCAATTTATGGCACTCTACACGGCAACAGCGATAAAAAACATAAATGACTTTGAGAAAAAATGGAAAATCAGGACAAATAAGAACAAATTCAAGATAATACCAATAGCCAAGATCAAAACAAATCCAGTAATAGTCGACCAGGAACTGTACCCAAACGAAACTGAAGGCGAAACAAACTACACTGAAGCCAGAATGCTTGAAATAAAGCTAACAAAAAGAGGATATTTAACTTACATAAAAAATAAAGAGCGACAGGCAAGAATAAGACTATCAACAAGAAAACGTTTTAATAATCTTAGCATAAATAACAAAAGAAAGATTTATATAGCCCTTGTCAAATCAATTATGGACTACCCACCCATCCCACTGAACACACTTAGTAAAACGAGCATTAAAAGGTTACAAACAGTACAAAATATAGCCCTCAGATTTATTTATAACATAAAATATACAGACCACATCAATAATGAACAGCTACACAAGAGAGCAAACCTCCTAGCATTTAAAGTAGAAATACACAACAAAGCCGCAAATATTTGGAACACAGTGACTGAACTCAACACAGAAACTTACCAAAACTGGATAAATAATATATATAATGAAGAAATCCAAGAACATGGTTGGTTTAAATCAGCCAGAAATTAAATAATTGAACCATCTCCTGCCCCAATATACATATAAAACATTAATAGAGAGAATAAAAGATGAGAGTGACCTACCAGCTCCACTAAGAACCTGGCAGGCCTCTCCATACAGTGTACCTTTAGACTAACATAACTAACACTTAACTAACACATTAACAAAAAAATAAAATAAATAAAATGTGACTACCCTCCCAGCCATACAAGGACCTGGGAGGGCTCACTAACTCCACCACAGTAAGGTAAGAAGTATAATAAGCAGCACTATATAAATAAACCAATACTAATACAAAGTTCTGACGACCCGAGGGAGCAGAACAAAGATAGAAAAAAACATAAGAGATAAGATGAAGCGATCAGGTTGAGCCCAGGTTCTTTCTACTCTTATTGTTTTAAGTTTCACCACTTTTCTTCAATCCCTAATAATCTTCTTTGACCTCCTGACTTATGACTCCTAAGCCAAAGAAGGTCAGACTACATCATTCTCTCAAGCAGACAAGACCTCCTCACAAGAAGCTCCTCCACAGCTCAGCAACTCCCTGCATCTTACTGCACTGGATAATATAATTTTGTAAACAGAACGTTATTGTGAGTTTCCTTTCTCACCTCCATCCGTAGTGCGAGATCTCTTCCATGTACATGTGTATGTGAGCCTAACAAGAGAAATTTGACAACTGGCCACATATACTACGCTACAATTTATGACCCACGGAGTGACGCACTCACACAAGGATGGATGCGAAACGGATCACTTTCCCAGTCTTCAGCCACAACATCGAGGACTGGATAATTCACGTGGAGGCAGTTCTCACCGGCTCAACAGCTACAGACGAGCAGAAGTATGTCGCCCTAGTCTGTTCCTTGCCCACAGAAGTTGCCACGTAAGTCTCAGAAGTCATCAGTTCTACGTGATGCTCTTAAGAGGCGATACCAGCGGCCTGGTGCCAGTATCCAGCAAGACCTATCAAGTCTACCCCTCGGCAACCCAACGCCTGCACGTCTGTGGGACGAGATGCGTTGATTGAACTCCCGCCACACAGACAGGCTTCCTAACACTGCCCTACGCCAGCTTCACGCCCAGAAGCTCCCAGCAGAAGTTCGCCTCGCCCTGTCCGCACTGGACTACTCTACAACCTCGGCGACCTACGCAGCCACGGCAGACAGAGTATTCCATGAATACACTGCGCCATGCTGCCGCAGACAACTCAGTGGCCACACCATCACTTAGCACCGGTCTCGTCAACCGGATCAACGCCCCTCAGACGAGCAACATCTTACAAGACATGAGGGACCTGCTACAGTCTCCACACAGCAGGATGGAAAACCCTCGAGCAGCTCTGCTCCTCCAAGCTTCCTGCTGCTCCTGTCCCTGCCCCACGCACTGTGTCCTACCATCCCCGAAGTCTTCGCCCTGCCTCGGACGCCGCCGCCAGCTCCCAGCACAGTGCACTCACCCTCTGCTGGTACCATCAACGATTCGGTGCTAACGCTAGACGTTGTGAGGCTCCCTATAACTAGGGAAACGGCATCGACGGGGATTGGTACATTCCACAACCTCCGTCACTTCAGGCGTCTCACTACTGCATATCACCGACCGCATCTCCGGCAGGAAATTCCTCGTTGACACAGGGGCATCGGTCAGCATCATCCCTACCTCACCGCTAGACACATCAAAGCAACCCTCATATGACCTGTTTGCCGCCAACGGCATCCCGCAATACCTCCTACGGCGCACACATCCTCGCCTTAGACCTTGGTTCCCAAGACTGCGCTGGTCCTTTGTGGTGGCAGACGTTTCTCAACCCATCTTTGACTTCGACTTCCTCACCTTCCACAAGCTCGTCGTTGACCCAAGCAACCTTTGCCTCATCCACGAGCCTACATCACACACGATCAAGGGTACACGTGCTGCAGTCACCGACATCATCGCCTGTCTCTCGCCGCCCAACGAGTTCTCCCATTTGCTCGAGGAGTTCAATGATATTTTCTCACCCAGAGTCTCTCCACCACCACCACCTACGACGGGAATCTTCCACCACATTGAGACTACAGGACCTCCAGTCTTCTCAAGCCCTCGCCGCCTTCGCTTTGAGCTCCTCAACACAGCCAAGGTGGAATGCAACAGACTCCTCCAAGACGGCATCATTCGACCTTCAAAGAGTCCCAGGGCATTTCCTCTTCACATGGTTCCAAAGCCATCATCCAACGACTGGAGGATATGCGGTGACTACAGAGCCCTGAACCTCGTCACCAAACCTGACAGGTACCCTATCCTGCATGTCCAGGACTTCCACCACAAACTCCACGGCATGACCATCTTCTCGAAGATCGACTTGGAGCGAGCCTTCCACCAGATTCCAGTGGCACCTGCAGAAATCCAGGAGACTGCCATCACCACCCCGTTCAGTCTCTTCGAGTATGCCTACATGAGTTTTGGATTACGCAATGCAGCTCAGACCTTCCAGAGGTACATGGACCACATTCTTCACGACCTCGACTTTGCCACAGTCTACATAGACGACATTTTCGTCACATCTCCGACGCCTGCCGAGCATCATCACCACTTACGGGTCCTTCTCCAACGTCTGCAGAACAACAACATGAAAGTTCATCCCGCCAAGTGCGTCTTCGGAGCCCCCTCCATCGACTTCCTCGATCACAGAGTCTCCTCGAGCGGCATCCAACCCCTACCACATAAGGTAACTGCCATCAAAGAGTTCCCCAAACTTGAGACAGCAAAAAAGCTCCGAGAATTCCTGGGTTTAGTCAACTACTACCATCGCTTCATTGCCCAGGCTGCTAACATCCTCGCTCCTCTCCACGATCTCCCCAAGACATCTCACAAGCCTCTCACGTGGACTCAAAAGGCTTTTACAGCATTCAACAATATCAAGCAGCACATCACACGCCTTACCCTGCTGGCGCACCCTGCCCCCAACGCCCGGACCACTGTCACAGCAGACGCTTCCTCTACTGCCGTGGGTGCCGTCTTACAACATGAGATCAACGGAACTCTCATGCACCAGTGCTTTCTTCTCACAGCGGCTGCAACCACTACACCTCAAGTACAGCGCCTTTGATCGAGAGCTCCTGGCCATATATCTTGCTGTCAAGCATTTCCAGCACTTCCTCGGGGCCCGTCAGTTCACCATTTTCACTGATCACAAGCCCCTCGTCCACGCCTTTGCTTCAACCTCTGAGACACATACACTTCATGTTCTTCGCCAATTGGCTTACATCTCGGAGTTCACCAGCGACATCCAACACATCAAAGGCTGCCACAAAGAGATCGCCAACACTTTCTCTCGTTGTATATCCAGCATTCTTCCCTCATCTCCACCCATTGATTACAGACAGCTCGCTGTAGCTCAATAGAACGGCGAAGACCTTGCAGCATACAAGACATCTCCCTCAGGTCTCGCCCTCCAAGAACTCCTCGTTCCTGGCACGAACATCAGGTTGTGGTGCGAAATGTCCTGTGGGCAGCCTAGACCGTTCGTGCCTCACGTCCACCGCCAGACCATCTTCGACCGCATCCATGGTCTCAGCCACCCAGGTGTACGGGCCTCCCAGCGCCTTCTCACGCAAAGTGTCGTCTGGCCCGGCATCAAGGCTGATACTCGGAAATGGGCTGTCCAGTGCCTGGCCTGCCAGTCCTCTAAGATACATCGACACACACACGGGCTCCCTTAGAAAACTTTCTTGTACCCAAAGGACTCTTCCAGGTAGTACACATCGACATAGTGGGACCTCTTCCAGCATCCTGTGGCAACACCTACATCTTCACCTGCATTGACCGTTCCACCAGGTGGATAGAAGCCATTCCCATGCTTAATGCTACAGCAGTCAGCCGTCCGCACCTTCCTGTCTGGTTGGGTCTCCCGTTTCGGTCCTCCCACGACTGTCATCACCGACCGAGGAGTCCAGTTTCAGTCCCAACTCTGGCACAATCTCCTGCAGTTCCTCGGCACTAGCAGGCATCGCACTACCTCTTACCACCCTCAGTCCAACGGCATGGTAGAACGGTTTCATCGGCAGCAGAAGGACGGCATCAAGGCACACGACCCCTATAGCTAGACGGATGCTCTACCCTTAGTGCTCCTTGGCACCCGTGCATCACACAAAGAGGACATAGACTGTAGCTCAGCGGATCTCACCCAAGGCGAGCCCCTTCGCCTACCCGGGGACTTCTCACTTACTCCTGACCTTGACCACTTCACTCCAGCTGTCCGTCATGATCTACTAAAAATACTACGACAGGCAGTTTCTGCATTCAAGGCTACGGCCCCACGCCAGTGTTCCCATCGCCCTGAACAGATCCCTCCTGCACTACTCAATGCCGAGCATGTCTTCGTCAGGCGCGATGCTCACCGTAACCCACTTCACCACCCCTATGATGGACCCTTCCCGGTGCTCGCACGGTCAGCGAAGTTCCTGATGATCAATTGCAATGGCAGACACGACACCGTCAGCATCGATCGAGTGAAGCCAACCACTTTACCCGATGGTGCCCCAGCCCAACATTCCCCCCAGCAAACCACGCCTGCGCCGCGTTCACCGGTCTGGTCACCATTGCCGCCTGCAGCACCACCTTGTCCACATCATTTCCGAGCACGCTCTTTTCTCCCTAAGGTACTTACTGCTCCTGACCCTGCTCCTGATGAGGATCCTGGATCCGGCGCCTCCGAGGACTTTGCACCTTCCGCGAGAGAAGCACCACATTCCTCGTCTGTTCCTCCCGCCGTTCAACCTTCACATATCTACAACTCTCCTTCTCCCTGTGCTTCTCCCATCGATTTTGTGTCACTCGACGGAGTCGTCAACTCGTAGCGGCCGAGTGGTTCACACCCCTGTCAGTTATGTCTCGCACGTGGGATACAACTCTGCCGACAACAAGTTTCCTGCAGCGCCCGGAGGAGAGTGGGAGTATTGTAGTGGATACTCTCCTCTACAACAGCGGACTGGGAACTCTGTAGGAAGTACCTGGCTAAGTGGCGCGCCAAATCACAGCCGGCTGGTGCAGCACCCCTGGACGAGACAACCCTCCACCAACAGTTGGTCGAGGCGTTTCACCAAGCGGCAGAAGAAGCTATCCCAAAAACAAAACCCACATCAAGACAGTACAATGATTACTGGTACTACTGTCCCAGGGTGAAAGAACTCAACCACAGAGTGAACATGGCCCGAAGAAACTACAGGAGACATCCCACAGACACAAACAGACATATCCTGCAAGACATAGTCAAGGATACAAGGGAAGAGAAGGAAGAAATCAAAAGCGCAAGCTGGCCCAAGTGGTGCTCTGAACTGAACGAGCACACCTCCCTCGGCAAAATATGGGCCCAGATCCGAAGGGCTCCTGGGAAGGCAACACCACCACCACCAATACATCCCAACCTAGAAGAGGAAGCCGAGAGACTTGCAAAACTGTTCTCCGACCGAGCAGCAACGAAAAACCTCCCGAGATATGCGGAGGAGACACAATGGCGTCTGCGACAGACCAGACTCCAGATGATCGAAGAGGCCTGCAACAGTGAAGATGACACCGACAGACCTTTCAACCAGCAAGAACTCCAGAAGTCGCTAAAACGAAGCAAGGACACAGCACCAGGAGCCGACAGGATAACCTACTCCATGCTTTCCCATGCCGGAGAAGCCGGGCACGAGGCATTGCTACAAGTCATCAACGCCTCGTGGATAGCGCAGAGACTTCCACCGGTTTGGAAGAAGGCAGATATACAGCCCATTCCGAAGCCCAGAGAACCAGACAAACCGAGGCCCATCTCCCTCCTCAGCTGCATAGCGAAGACGGGAGAAAGAATGGCTCTCAACAGACTCAAGTCGGGTGGTGTGAACACCCCACCACCCGGTGTCTCTATGACCACGTGAGGTCCTTCATAACAACACCCGAGGACGAGTTACTACACCACGTGAACACCACACCACCTGGTGTCTCAACAACCAGCCCAGGCCCGGGCCATCAACTGTAAACTATAATAATTTGTATGTTCAATTCATGCCCCTTCTTCTTTCAGTAATGAAAGCTTTTGCTAAACGACCCAACTACCCCATGTCTTTGTATGTAATAAGTCATTTTTGTCCCATGTATATTCTCAGCCTTCGGGCTGCAGAACATTTTCAATAAACCGTTAATTATTATTATTTATTTATATTATTACACACACACACACACACACACACACACACACACACACACACACATCTGACCCGCATGCTGCAGCTCAAATCTGTAGCCTTTTACCCCCAACTGCACCACTCACAATTTGTATTGCTCACAACCTGCATCGTTCACAACTTGCACCGTCCACAGCCTGCACTGTCCACAGCTTGCACATTTCTCATCCTGCATCACTCATAACCTGCACGACTCCCAACCTGGACTGCTCATCACTTAAAACAAACACGACACTCAGCCAGCATCAGAAGCAAATTGTGCCGATCACAACCTCGTGGCTCATCACCGTCACCGCTCATAACTTGTATGCACAACCTGTGCCGTTCACAACCTACACCGCACACAAATTGTATCACTCGCAACCTGCACCGCTCATAACCTGTATTGCTTACAACCTGCATCGCTCATAACCTGTACTGCTTACAACCTGCACCACTCATAACCTGTACCACTCGTAACCTGTACCGCGCACAACCTGCACGCTGGTGCCGGTAACAACATAAGAAACTTTAGCAGAACCAATAAATATATCCAAGAATGCTATATATATATATATATATATATATTTCATAAGCCCAATAAAGCACGCGCACTTCTACATACAATCAACACCTCAACCCTCCAGGATTCGAACCCACTTCCCACGATCCCATGACTGTGACCGGGGAACGCTATCCGCTGGACCACCAGGATACTAAAAGCAGTCCTAGACTACGTTATACTTCACACAAAGCCTGTTCAACGAGCTTAAGGCGCCGTGAACCTCTAATGGGGACTAACCGTATATGGATCCTCGTCTTTCGAAGCCGGATTTGGTAAAACGTTACTCTGACCACCTACGTGATAAGGGTAGTCCCCATTAGAGGTTCACGGCGCCTTAAGCTCGTTGAACAGGCTTTGTGTGAAGTATAACAAAGTCTAGGACTGCTTTTAGTATCCTGGTGGTCCAGCGGATAGCGTTCCCCGGTCACAGTCATGGGCTCGTGGGACGTGGGTTCGAATCCTGGAGGGTTGAGGTGTTGATTGTATGTACATATATATATATATATATATATATATATATTATCAGTCCATATAGCGCGCAAACTTCCATATACAAACAATACCTCACTAGTTGGCAATCAAACCCTGGACCTCTGCCTGTGATATGGATCGCTATCTCCGCGCCACAAGGACAACAAATGCAATCCTAGGCAATCCCCAGTGGAGGGTCACGGCGCTGAAGGTAGCACGCTGAACAGGCTTTATGAGGGATATAACAAAGCATACGATTACTTTCGTTGTCTTTGTGGCGCGGTGGTAGCGATTCCTGTTCACACGCAGAGGACCAGGGTTCAATTCCCGACAAGTGAGGTATAGTATATATTGTACAATCATTAATAACTTTTATAAAAATATAGTCAATGATTCATGGTAGGTGATGGAGTGGACAATAGTTGTTGTGGTGTGTAACTGACACGGTGAATATATGAATTATATATTTACTGTACATCAGTGTCGCTGAATTTGTTTAGTAAAGTTGGCAGACACACTGACAGCACTGATAACCAACTCACTCGTTAAATATATACGACAGAAAGTGTTGAACGAGGATTTTGTAATCTATGTAATTTCAATTATTGACGTAAACAATCTATAAATATTTTATATATTAGTTATTTTATTTGTCATTTGAGACATTTTATAGGACTTTTATTTTCCATCAGTTTTTAAGATGGAAACTTTAAGGTTACAACTATATGAAAAATTCCCGTAAACAACTTGAATTTTGCTCAGTCTATTCCATACAACATGATTCTTTTAATACATTATTATCTAAAGTCGAGTTTTTGCTCCCAGTATTGGAGGTTGAGGCCTCATAAGGGTAATGGTTCGGTTTACTTGACAGATTTTAATGTTAATAAGATATCAACATTTTAATTGACTGCAACAAATTCAAAGAATTCGTGAGGTCCCGTAACCTCTCATTCTTAGACAAGAGGACAAAATCAACAGGCGTACGGATGTCTCTCTCTGCTAAAGACACTGACAAGCAGTCTGAATACCCAGTCACTAGACTGAATGCATGACAGACTACCTGCCAGGGAAAACGGATTGATAAACTAGCTTCCTTGTAAGTTGTTTGCCTGCATGGCAGACTGTCTACAAAACAACTTGTCATAATGTATTGCAGACTATTCGTCAAACTTATATATTGTATGCAGGGCTGACAACCTGCCTGTCAAACTCTGCTTTCCAAATTTGCTACCTGGAAGACAACCAGCTGTGCCGGATTACCAGCTGCCAGACAAGCAGGTAATCTGAGAGTTGATCCGACTACTATGGCCTGTTAGGCAGCCTACCGGTGTCTATGGGGTAATTTCTCCATGTACCAGCTCGGTGTACAAAGGCTTTACACTAAAAGAAAATGTTGCACTAGAAGCAGTTTTTGAACACACACAGAGATGGCTCATCAACACCAAGGTTGTGAGTTACCAAAGTCTTCCTCGAGTGTTGTGGTCAGGTTTATCGTCACAGACAATATCTAAAAGCAGTTTGTAAACGATTCAACGTCGTCATCTAAGGATACACAAATACCACTTTTTTTTTTTTGCAGTTTATCAAAATGTAATGTATGATGAATGTGGATATTTTCAACGATCATTTATAAAGTTTTCAATATTTTTAACGACAATTTCAGGACATTTTAGGATTAATTCTTATTTTTTTTTAGGATTTGTAGGTAACGCTTATGTTCTAGATTCTCACACAATTAAGTTACATGTTATTGTGGTTTCTCTGCTAACCCTTTGAACTTTCATTTTCTAATAAAGATCTACCGTGAGCATGAGTTCTGTCACCTCCTGAAAGCTTTAGGTAGTAAAATATTTCATGCAAATTCTGTGCAAACGTTGCCTTTATCTGGGTGTAAATATTCTAATCGAAATATCTTTGTCAACAATAGGATGTTTTTTACAGGATTAGCCCACCAGGGTACAGGTCAATGGCCCACATCAAAGCCAGGAGGCGAAAGTATAATAATAATATAATAATATAATGTTGATGATGATGATGATGATGATGATGATGATGATGATGATGATGATGATGATGATGATAAAGGACCTTAAATAAATACAGAAATTTAAAAAATAATTCAATACTGAGAAACGACAAATGTATGTTATGTTGTCAGAGTAAGAGAAACAATTGAAACCCTGCAATTGTGTGTAAATGAGAGAGAAAGTCAGAGCAGCAAACTGGGACTTGGTTACAGTTTTTGTGGTGCCATATGTTAGTACCTCCCTGTTTGATAGCTGCATCCTACCTACTACCTGTGAAGTTCATTTAAAAACGAATACACTAGAAGAACCTGACCAGATGGGTAACATGCTTCCGAAAACACACACAAGAAACGTAGCAGTAGGAGATAATAGGAGATAATAGGAGATAATAGGAGATAATAGGAGATAATAGGAGATAATAGGATATAATAATCATTCACTATAGTATAGGCAACATTATTTATTCTAAGAACTAAAAAAATGAAATAATTATAATTTTAGCCTGTTAGTTTTAACTCAAAACCAAATACCCCATAAAAATATTACCCTGTGACTAGCTAATAGGAACGAATAATCTTTGTAATTATATA